TACATTCACCAGCTGTCTGTTGGTCTTTGGTTTTACTTTAATGTACAATGACTCTACATTTTGCAATCAAGTCAAACCGAGGACACTGAGGATCTCCAGAACCATTCATATTCATGAGAGAACTCAGAGAAGTTTTTCAGAAGATAGTTACCAAATTATGGTAGCAGAATAAAAATGTACAACTAAAAATACAAATTTATTACTGTTCCCAAAAAAGATGTAAATGTTTTGGTTGATGTGTATTTTCAGTCTTTACTGCATCATTGGCGATGACAGGAAGGAAGAAGCTTTTTATTTGTGAATTTAAGGCAACTAGCAAAAAAATTATGGCTTTTAAAATGTGTTGAACACATTTCCAACATAGTAACATCGACAGTATATTTACACTATAAACACATGCAATAAACATTTACTACACAGTACACATAACAGCAAACGTTTGTCTTCTAGCAAACCATCAGCACATTTTCAGTGAGACATTTCAAAAGCTGCTGAGTTAAACCGAACAATAAAAAGCACTAAATACAAATGTATTTCTATTCTTTTTTAAGAGCCTCAATAATATTTGTCTTAATGAGGTTTCTGCTGTGATGTCACATGTGCACAGAGTTATCCACCATACTGAACGTGCTCAGAACCACCTGAAGTTTGCATTCATGAAGAGGGCGTTACACCAAAAACCCCTCCTTGCTTTGACTGCTAGCAGATTGCCACAGTTGTCCATAGTTTGGATGGAAGAAGCTGACTTCTGCAGGAACGTGCCAGCTGACCACTGAGGAGTAGTAAAACTTTAAAAGTGCAACGCAAACCAGAAACGGAGAATATTAGCCTTCAAAATAAAAGAAACGCCTCAGTGCAGCAGCTGAGAACAAATGGTGTTTGCAGACAAGTTGGTGTTTTCCATCAAACTGGAGTGACTGCAGCAATCCATTAACTAACCAAGGAATTGTAAGGCTTTAACCAACCAGTTGTATTTTTCCCTGGTGACAGGTGGTTACCAGAGCTCCAGTCCTGTGTGACTAAGGTCCTACTCACTTAACCCTATGACCTGTTCAAAATAGCAAAATAATTGTCATGTGACTTCAAATCCTTAGTATTATCCAAATAAACCATTTCAAACACCATTTAATTAACATCTTAGTTATGAAGATTAAAAAAGGTGGGTCTCTATGTTTTTTAATCAGGGTTTAATTTTTCTATCAAATTATGAAGCCAGAGATACAAAAACACTATATTCAGCTCATATTCATATTCAGTT